TGAAATTCATTACTAGTTGCAAATAAACTCTCCCCTCCCCCAACTCTCTGCTCTTAGTGTTAGGAAGAGGAAGTCTTACAAATGTGGTTTAAAAACAGTTCTGTAGAGGTTCTGAGGCACTAAACTTATACATGCACTCATTTAGCAGACATTTGTTAGTGTGTCTCTTGTGTTGATCATGCTCCTAGATGCTAGGGTTAGTCATGGAAAACAATTTATACTCAGTTCTGCATTTGTGGAGGTTTCATTCTGTAGGGAGAAGGAGGAAGGGAGATATTGAACTATCACACAAATAACCGAGGTTGAACCAAACATTACAAAGCAAGAGTTGTGGAGAGGGTGATAGAGGCTCTATAACAGTAATTTGTACCCCTAACAGATGATTTTAGTGAAAACTGGAACATGGGGATTTTGTTCCCAATGATAATAAAAATTCCAATATGTCTGTCTGCTTTCAAAGGTTTGCACATATTCTTTCTTGCTCTCTCTAGGTAGATGGAGCTTCCTGACCTGGGAACTTCAAGAATTTGAAGCTTCAAGCAAATCTTCAGAGTTCTGGAACTCATTGCCCAGATGATCCTTGAGGTGATCCTAAAGCCCTTCAGGGTGGGAGAGAGTAATTCTAGGAAAGATGAATGTAATAAAAGCCGGTCCTAGGGGTTTAGATCAGAAATAAAGACAAGAATCACCTCTAGGCTTATTTTTTTTTTAATTAGGTGTTGGAAAAATATGAAGATATTAGAACTGGAGTTTACTGTTGTCAGGACTATAAAATGGTGCAGCTACTTCTAACTGTAAGCAAAGTTGTGTGACTGATATAATATTGGCATGGAAGCATATATGAGATCAAAAGAATAGACGAGTCCATATATGAACTCATGCACATATGATCAATATATGACATAAGATCCAAGAATGTGGGATGGGGGCCAGAGCAATAATGCAGAAGGTAGGGAACTTGCCTTGCATGCAGCCAACCCAGGTTTGATTCTTAGAACCCCATTTGGTCCTCTGAACAGGCCAGGAGTGATCCTTGAGCACAGAGTCAAAAGTAAGCCCTGAGCACTGCTGGATATGGCCTAAAAATTTAGGAAAGAAAGAATGAATGAAAGAGAGAAAGAAAGAAAGAAAGAAAGAAAGAAAGAAAGAAAGAAAGAGAGGAAAGGAAGAGAGGAAAGGAAGGAAGGAAGAAAGGAAGGAAGGAAGAAAGGAAGGAAGGAGGAGAGAGAAAGAAGAAAGAAAGAAAGAAAGAAAGAAAGAAAGAAAGAAAGAAAGAAAGAGAGGAAAGGAAGGAAGGAAGGAAGGAAGGAAGGAAGGAAGGAAGGAAGGAAGGAAGGAAGGAAGGAAGGAAGGAAGGAAGGTCAATGGGGAAAGGACATGACTATTTTCAATAAAATGATATTGGTAGAACTTACAGATAGTCACATGCAAAAGACTGAAACTGAACCACTATCATACAATTTACACAAAAATTAACTCAACATATTTACAGACTAGAATGTAAAACCTGAAACTATAAGATACTAGAAGAAAATAGGCAGTATACTTAACATCAGACTTGGTGCTAAGTTTTTTTATCATTATTATTTGAAACACTGTGATTTATAGCACTGTTCATGACAGGGTTACATGCATACAAAATTCTAACACCATACTCTCCACCCAGGGCTGGAGTGATAGCACAGCAGTAGGGCGTTTGCCTTCCGCGCAGCCGGCCCGGACAAGCCAGGTTCGATTCCTCCGCCCCTCTTGGAGAGCCCAGCAAGCTACCAAGAGTATCTTGCCCATATGGCAAAGCCTGGCAAGCTACCCGCGATGCCAAACACAGTAACAAGTCTCACGATGGAGACGTTACTGGGCCCGCTCGAGCAAATCGATGAACAACGGGAGGACCGTGACTCTCCACCCAAGTATCAACTTCCCTCTCCCAGTGATAACTTTTAAATAAGATACCAAATGCAAAAATCAACAAGCGTGACTGCATAAATTTTAAAAATCTTCTGAACTGCAAATGAAACCCAAAAAATGAAAAAGCAGCCAACTAAATGGGATAAAATATTAACAAAACATATCTGTAAGGTGTTAATATCTAAAATGAAAAAGAAACTTATGCAACAAAATAATTTATAAATTGGAAGAAGAGGGGCTGGAGTGATAGCACAGCGGGTAAGGTGTTTGCCTTGCACACGGCCGACCCAGGTTCAATTCCCAGCATCCCATATGGTCCCCTGAGTGCCATCAGGAGTAATTTCTGTGTGCAGAGCCCGGAGTAACCCATGTGCACCACCGGGTGTGATCCAAAAAGAAAAAAAAAATGGATGAAGAGAACTGCAGTGATAGTAGTATAGTGGATAGGGCACTTGCCATGCATGTGGCTGACCTGGGTTCGATCCCTGGAAACCCACATTGTCTCCTAAACCCTGCCAGGAGTAGTAAATTCTGAAACAAATGGGTGTGACTAAAAGAAAAACAAAACCAAAAAGTTTGAAGAGAATGTTTTCAAACTTTGTCCCCACCCAAAATGACCAATAGAATTTGTACATGAGAAACATGCTCATCATCACTAACCATCAAAAAAGAATGCAAATTGGGAAGGGGAATATGTGCATGCTTTGCATGTAGGTGGCCAGGAGGATTCATTCCCTACCACCAGATGGTCCCCTAAGGGAATGACCTCTGGGCAGCTAGGAGTAAGGCCCTGAACATTGTTGGATATGGCCTAAGAAACCAAAACAATCAAATCCATAAATAACTCTACCCTCTATCAGCTAGAATTATTATCATAAAAACAAAAAATAAAAGTATTGGGAAGGATTTGGAGAAAAGGGAATCGTCAAGCATTGTTAGTGGAAATGTAAATTGATAATGCAACTATGGAAAACAGTGTGGAGTTTCCTTCAAAAAAAAAACAAGGACTGATACCTTTTAAAAATAGGGGCTAAAGCACTTGCCTTTGCATGAGGTTGACCCTGGTTTAAATCCCTAGCACCACATATGGTCCCCCAAGCACTGCCAGGGATCACTCATGAGCACAGAGACAGGAATAGCCCCTGAGTAATGCTGATTATGGCTCAAACCATCCCTCCAATTTTTTTTTTCTTTTTGGGTCATACCCAGCATTGCACAGGGGTTACTCCTGGCTCATGCACTCAGGAATTACTTCTGGTGGTGCTCAGGGGACCATATGGGATGCTTAGGAATTGAACCCTGGTTGGCCATGTGCAAGGCAAGCGCCCTATCCGCTGTGCTATCGCTCCAGCCCCAACCTCCAATTTTTTTTCCAACCTCCAAATATTTTTTATTTAAAAATATAATCCATCGATTCCTCTTCTGGGTGTTTATTCAAAGAAAATTTAAACTAATTTATAAGGATATATGCATTCCTCACCCCCACCTCCTGTTTACTGTAGCATTATTTACAATAGCCAAGATATGGATACCATCTAAGTGTCCATAAATAAATGAATGGAGAGTATGAGACATAAGAAATGAAGGGATATTTTATTAATTAATTTATTTATTTTTAAATTTTTGTTAGTGAAACACCATGAGGTACAGTTGTAGACTTACAAGTTTTTGTGCTTGGGTTTCAGTTATACAATCGAGTACCCAATGGGATCGAGTACCCATCCGTCCACCAGTGCCCATTCTCCACCACCAGTGATTCCAGTATCCCTCCCACACCCCCATACCCCCTTTCCCACCCTGCCTCTGTGGCAGGGCATTCCCTTTTGTTCTCTCTTGCTCTTTTTGGGTGCTGAGGTTTGCAAAAGAGGAAATGAGTGGCAATCATGTTCGGTGTATAGTCTACTTTCAGCATGTATCTCCCATCCTGGGAGGATCCTCAGGAAGGGATATTTTAGAAAACAAATGAACAAACTATGGCCTGTGAAGCAAATCCAGCCTGCTGCCAGCTTTTATAAATAAAGTTTTATTGGAAGACATAGTCACTTGAATTCATTTCTATATTGTCTGATTGATTTCCCACTTCACACAATGCTGAGTGGATGTAACAGAAATTATATGGTTCACAAAGCTGAAATCTTGAACTATCCTGCACAAGGAAATTAGCTATTGGTTCTTTTGGTATAATCCACATTTCTTTATTTTTCTTTTTTGTTTTTGTATCATACCAGGTTATGTTTAGGGCTCCAAGCTCTTCACTCTGGGATCATTGCTGGTGATGGTCAGGGAACTATATGGAATGCCAAAGACTGAACTCAAGTCGACAGCATACAAGACAAGCTTGCTATCTGCAGTACTATAGTGCCAGCCCCACACATTTCTATTCAAGTTTTCTATTCCTCTAGAAAACTTGGAACATTTTCGTACTTATTAATCTATCACTCAATCCAGAGACTGGGTTTGTGCCACAGTTCTAATTCATATTTTCCAAGATGGATAAGTTCAACAAAATAGTCACCAGACACATGTGGCTTTTTAAATGTAAATATAAAACAATTACATCTGGCCCTTTATGATAAGAATTTAATATCCTTTAATTTAGATTTCTTGGAGCTCTTATCACCACACCAGATTGTCTTGAACACTTTCATCTGGACCACTTTTAAAAGAGAAGGTCAAAAACCCAATAAAAAGTCCACGTTCTAGTGTCCAGAGTGATAGCATAGTAGTTGGGGCATTTGCCTTTTACACAGTCTGCTTGGGTTCAATCTCCAGCACCCTATGTGGTCCCCCAAACACCACCAGGAGTAAGTCCTGAGCACAGAGTCAGGAGTATTCCTTAAGCACTGCTGGTGTGGCCCAAAATCAAACCCGCCAAAGATCTTTGTTCTAGAAACATCAGACTCATCATAAGCATCCACTATGTGCTGGGCTCTGCTTTGTAAATAACATTGCATTTAGTATAAATGTAAGACCAGATGTTATTTGTTTTCCTTCATCTGACTTATTTCTCTTGGTCTCGAGGTCCTCAAGTTGTGAGGAAGGAATCATTATCCTCCTTTTACACTTGAGAAAAAGACTCAAATATAGAGCAGTGTGAAGAAGAGGCGAGAACGACCCCTGGACCAACCAAAGCCCGCACCCCACTGCACCCTGCGTCTGGTGCCCATGTCCTGCCGCTGTCGTCACCATGCCCAAGAGAAAGGCTGAAGGGGATGCTAAAGGAGATAAAGCCAAGATGAAGGATGAACCACAGAGAAGATCTGCAAGGTTATCAGCTAAACCTGCTCCTCCAAAGCCAGAGGCCAAGCCTGAGAAGGCCCCTGCAAAGAAGGGAGAGAAGGTACCCAAAGGGAAAAAGGGGAAGTCTAATGCTGGCAAGGACGAAAGTAACCCTGCAGAAAATGGAAATGCAAAAACAGACCAGGCACAGAAAGCTGAAGGTGCTGGAGATGCCAAGTGAAGTGTGTGCATTTTTGATAACTGTGTACTTCTGGTGACTGTACAGTTTGAAATACTATTTTTTATCAAGTTTTATAAAAATGAAGAATTTTGTTTTACTTTTTTTTAAAGCTATGTTGTTAGCACACAGACCACTTCATTGTTGTTTTGGGGGAAGGGTATAAGTCTCTAATAGATGGTCTCCAAAAATTGATCTCTGTGGGGAAAAAACAACTTTTCCCCCACTAGTTTTGAGAGACTTCCTCTTGATTTCCAAGAGGAGAGATTCCTTGACTTGACACAGTAGCCACCCTGGCACCCAACGCCTCGTGGTGGGTAAAAACTGTGTTTCTATGTCCTGTCTCCCTCTCTGCCTTCAGCATAGACTTGACTCCCTTAACCCTAGAGAAACCTGTTAAGCCTGGACTCTCAAAAAGTGGTTACCAGGATGTCAGGCCCTCTGGACTTTGCAGTGCCCCAACTGAGACGGCAGCCCTCAAAAGAATGGTTCCTTTTTTAGATTGTGGATCTTCAGATTGATCATTCTGCCATTTTTCTTTCATTTCTTGAAAGTCAAGGTCGGCTTGTGAAAAGTTAAACAACATACTAAATGTGAAATGTCAACCCTCACTCTAAACTTTCGCTGTTCAGAGCATCAAATGAAGATGTCATTGGGTTTTATAGTGGCTTTCTGATTTTGGTAGTCCATTGAAGAAGGGAGTTTGAAAGTTATTGTATACTGTTAACGATTGTCTGCCCATGTCCTGCCTGAAATACCATGATTGTTTATGAAAAGTATCTTTAATAAAGCTGGATACAGTTTGGGGAAAAAAAAGACTCAAATATAGAAATTGCTGGTGACAGTCTTATTTGATTTTAGATCACCTTGTCTATGTATTTCATCACTTTTCTCTCCAACCTCCTACACTGTCTGCTGCTTAAACATTTCTGAAGAATTAATGGGAAGAATTCCACTACTTTGGACAAAGAGATGATGAGTAGGAACTATATCAAGTGAATTCACTCTGCATAACAAACAATACCAGGCCACCCCACTGTAGCCCAGGGTCACTCTCGGGTCCTTAAATTCGCGTAGTCAGGAGCTTCAGTGAGTGGGTGGGGAGTGGGGATGGGGGAGTCATTCATAGGAAAATTCATCTTATTATAAGATCAAAGACCTAGTTGCTTCTTGCCAGTATATATTAAACCAAACACCATATTACAGATATTTAAGCTCCTAACCAGAGACAGGAACCAGTATTATGAGAAGCTTCTGATGAATTACAAGGTTAAGAAATGAGAAGACACAACAGAAGCTTTTGAGTTGAGCAGTAATTCTCCAGGAAACCCTCTCAAAAACAGACTTGTGTGTGTTCTGTCCTCATTGAGAATGAAGATCAATGAAAGAAAAATGGGAGCATGTCTAGGTTCACAAGTTGAGTGTTTCAGCAACTATAAACAAGACTGTTGCAATGATGAGCCAGCCAACACTAAATGCTCAAACAAGAACCAGATGGTATTTGTCAGGGAGATTGTGATATGGGCTTCTGAATGGTTAGACCAGCTCACCTCTGTGGCTTCCTTCCATTCACAGGTTCACAATTTTGTAAATATAAGAGGACACATTGGGAAAGTTCGTTGCTTTGAACCAAATTCACTTTTCCCAAACTCCACCCTATCCTAATTACCATGCTGCACCACAAATTGGGGTCCATTTTCAACCAAGCCCTAGAAATCGGAAGTCACATTCCAGAATACCCAGGTACTCATGATATAATTGTTAGGAGAATGATTTTGTAGTTTTTCAGATGAAACTATAAGGTCTCTGATTTGGGACAGTAGAAAATGGTGACCAAAACAGCATTAACTGATACATTAAGCTACCATGGGTGGGGTGGGGGAACACATATGATCCAATTGATCTTCATAACAATCCTATAAGAAAGCAAGATATGTTAGGTTTTTTTTAGGAGATTTGGAGTGGGGGCAAACCCAGAAATTAAAAAATGACCGAGGCTTATCCTGGCTCTACACAAAATTTCTCCTGTGGTGCATGGGGGACCATATAGGATGCCAGAGATCAAACCAGGTCAGCCACATGCAAGGCAAATGCCCTACCCACTATACTATTGCTCCAGCCCAAGAGATGTTAGTTTTTTATTATCCATTTGTATAGTAAGAGGTTATCTTATAGAACTAATAGAACTGCAAATAACTGCAGATCTATTCAGTAAAGCCTCAAAAATAATTCATATTAAGGAACTCATTTTGATCACTGCTCAACATAGTGTTTAGGACTATTAAAATTTATTTCTATTTTTGTAGTGAAGATGGTAATTTTGGTACAAGGGACCCAGCAGAAGTGAATACTTTGCTCAGACTGTCATCTAGCTCCTCAAGACTACCAGTGTTTGCCCGTGCTTGAATTAGTAGAATGAGTTTCGCATCCTGAGGATGTATTCAGCTTGAAAGGCTAGATATGTAAGAGATAATTACCTAGGCTTATGCCATTTAAGTATAGGTTGCTGTTATTGTTCACATCATTGGTGTTGAATTTTACATCCTGTTTTCCCATCAGCTCGGGATTGAATCATCACCTCTTCTCTCACTGGAGGCCTTGGAAGGAAAACACTGTCAAATGTTAGTTAACCTACATGCTGATTAGAGGAGGCCCGCACACCGTCTCCTGGGTAAATCACCCTCCAGCATTCTTTGGGTTCTCTTAGGGTGATTCATGGGCTAGCATATGACTAGAGATGGTCATCTTTGCTTTAAACTAAAATACATCCCTTATCATATGCAGGCTGGACAGTCTTTAGCAGCAAAGCTTTTAAAAATTTTAAAAATTATTTTTATTTGGGCTGGAGCGATAGCACAGCAGTAGGGTGTTTGCCTTGCACGCAGCCAACATGGCTGACCCGAATTCGATTCCTCCACCCCTCTCGGAGAGCCCGGCAAGCTACCCAGAGTATCTCACCCGCATGGCAGAGCCTGGCAAGCTCCCCGTGATGTATTCGATATGCCAAACACAGTAACAACAAAGTCTCCAATGGAGACGTTACTGGGCCCGCTCGAGCAAATCGATGAACAACGGGAGGGCCTTTACTTTGACTTTTATTTTTATTTAGGCACTGTGATTTCTATAGCTGTTTGCAATGAGTTTTCAGGCATACAGTGTTTTCACCTCCAATCCCCTCTATCTCCATCCCTTAACTCTGAGTTCCTGACTCCTCCTCAGGGACCCCTGACTGCACTGAGTTGGGCCCTCTGAGGGAGCTCAGGACAAACATCTTGTGGCTATTTTTGCTCGGGGGGGAAGCCTGAGCCGGTCAAGTATGTCTGAACTCACAGTTTCACAGAATTTCCACAGAAGACACGTTTCCAAGGCACCTTCCCTGCTAAAACACAGCCCACATGCCACTGTGCATGAGCAGAATATCAGTATGGGGTATGAGAATCAACCAGCAGCTGAAGATTCTGGCTGGGCAAAAGTCGGCCAGCTTGATTCTCCCAACCAAACGTTATCACCAGAATATTCTCTAGCTTCTGGTCTCAATGAACAATGACATTGGCACGGAAGAAATTTATAATTATCAGATCAGATCTTTGATGGTGGGGATGCCTTGCCCAAACAAACCACTAGGCATTGGCTCATACATTCAAACACCAGAGCCACTTGGTTCTCCTAGTTGGTTTGCACAGTGGCAGAAAGGTCCATCAGTCAGGGAACAACATTGGGATGTTCAAAGTCTCTAGCCTTTTTGGTAATGTACTTCTGAAAGTGAGCTGAGGGGGGAACCCCATTTCCTGCCCCCCCACACACACACTTGATGCTTGAGGGGGAAGTTCTCATGCTTTAAGGTCCCTGACCAAGAGGAAAAAAATAGACAAATGAATTATAGTAAACTAAGAAAAGCTTCTGCACTTCAAATGAAAAAAAAATGACCAGAATACAAAGACAGCCCACAGACTGGGAGAAATTATTTGTCCACCGCTCATCCAAAAGGTTAATATTCAAGATATATAAATCACTGGTAGAACTGTACAAGAAAAAAAAAACATCCAACTCTGGGGTGAATAGATAAACATAAACTTCTTCAAAGAAGAAACACAATGGCCAATAGCATATAAAAAAAGGTTCTATATCACTAATCATCATCAGGAAAATGCAAATCAAAACTACAATGAGATATGACCTAATATCACAGACACTCGCACTCATCAAAAAGGACAACAAATAACCAGTGTCAGCAAGGATGTGAGGGATCCTTATTCACTGCTGGTGGGAATGTCAATTTGTCCAGCCTTTTTGTAAAACAGTACGGACATTCCTCAAAAACAAGGAATTCATCTTCCTTATGACCCAGCAATTCTACTGCTGGGAATATACCCCAAGTGCCCAAAAACACAATGCAGAAAAGACACTTGCACTCTTTTGTTCATTTCAGTACCATATTCAACAACCAAAATATAGAAACAATCCAAAGTGGCTGCCATGTACAAGGATCACAGGCTTTGTACACTCTTCTATCGGCACCAGCATCTACCTTAGCCACAGGCTTATACTAAGGTAGCCCATCTCAAATTAAGAGAGATTTGAGACATTCCTTGCCAATTGTTGAAGGGACAACCAATTGCCCTGCCCAGCATACACAAACTCCTGGAAGTCATGGGTCAGAACACTGACCCAGGTCACAGGCCACAGCAGACCTTTCACCCCACCTTCAGCATGAGACCAGTTGTGAAAGAGGCACAGGTCCTGGGAGAGGTGCTGATGCCCAAGACTTCACTTTTAGCTTCACTCCTGGAGAGGCTGACTCTCCTGGTCAAGGAAAAATGCATTAAAAATCCTTTGCTATAGGTATTGAGTGACTGAAAAACAGATTGGAGCAGTGAAGTGAGGTGATTTCAGTGGTAGGATTATGCCTTAAACTCATCAATTACAGAATCAATAATTCAGTGAGAAGAAATGTAGAGAAAAGAATTTGTGAAAGCAGGACTGGAGCAATAGTACAGCAAGCGGGTCGGGTGCTTGCCTTGCATGTTGCTGACCCAGATTTGATTCTCTTGAGCATCACTGGATGTGACCCAAAAGGGAAAAAAATGTGAAAGCAGATTAAGCCTCAGCTATATTCACTGGTGAGATCCTTTCGAGGCATCTTCCAATTTACTCA